TGCATCTAGAACAGACCCCAGCACATAGTAGGTGCTGAATCAATCTGAGACAGAATGAATATGTATCATGTCTGTTGTGTGGCAGACCAATTGAAATGACATCCCAAATGATAACCGTGGGAACAGTGACCTCCTTGACTTAGGAGACCTTTTGCTCAGGGCAATCCAAAAGTTTTGCGGCAAGCCTTGAGGTTAGGTTTAAAAGTCCCAAATCAGACAGCAGACCAATTGCCAACCGAGTAAGGGGCAACCAAACACTGCCCTGGAATAGTAGCCCCAGAGCCTGTGGGAGTGACAGAGAGCCCACAGAGTTGTACAGAGTGAGTATGTGGGTTGTCAGTGACCTTGGAGGCCCCAAATATCAATGTCAGTAGTTATGTGTTTATAGTCCTCTTTAATTAAAGTTTATTTGACAACTTGAGAGAGAAATCAAAAGATATCCTCTAGAGTATATTTCTAGGGGTCCCAGGAGTGCTGAAGTCAAAGGAAATATGAAAATAACCCAGAAGGAAACCTGGGTCCTTTTTACAACTGCTTCCTGACACAGGGTCACACTGGTAAAACTCACTCTGGAGACACCAGGGGAGGCAAGCGCTTTATTCATCCATCCTGTTCATTACATGTCCTGTTCTGTGCCATGCAGCCCAAGACAGACTGGCTCTGACCTTCACAGGCTTGAAGGACATACGTCACTTTCTACTCCTTGTCTTCCTTTCAATCCTAAGGATATAATTTTCCAGAAGAGAACTTTCAACAGAAAAGTGTTTGAAGGCAAATAGAAAGGTAGGTTGAAAACGATTAGCTGACAATTCTGGGAACAAAAGAAAGCATAAGGGGAGCCACGAGAAAATTTTCCAAACAAAAATGAAGAAGAGATGAGAAAGAAATCTAAGAAAGGGAGGCAAATGAAAGATTTTAAACTTTCTGCTGCATTTTCCCCTTTATTTCCTACTAATAAGAATCTGGCTTAGATAGCTTAGGTATAGAAGTCAACAAGACAAGTACAGACTAATACAGACCAAACTTCTAGATCATGATTCCCACAGACAGGAAAGCCACACTTGGGGCGGGGGGGGGGGGGGG